TTCAACACATCCACACACCACTCAACACATGAAGTGAGGTGCTTCCCCTGTCATGTGTGTGTGGGTGCTGGAGAGGAATGTCTGGCAGACTCACAGGCTACAGAGAACTCAGGCATGGAGGAGGCAGCTTCACAACACATATCCAGTTACACAACACACAAATAAGACAACACTTGTTCATGGAACACACCATGTCAACATAGCTTGTGCCCCAGGTGTTTATGCAGGTGAGAGGAGACCTCTCTGTGTAGGAGAGCATCTGGGCCCACTAGCACAAAGTGATCTTCGAACTACGATGATCGTAACTCACAAACTCTAACACAGACTTAAGATAGTCGTATCGCTAAGATCGCTTTGTGCAAGTGGGCCCTGGGATGGTCTTATTTGGGCAGGGTACTGATATATAATGTGCTGGTGTTGATTTTGTGTTTGTTGTTTAACGTTGCACTCAGCAATATTCCAGCTATGTGACAGTGGTCTGTAAATAATCGAGTCTGGACCAGACAATCCAGTGTATCATTTTCCATTTATTGTTTATTCACAAAAAGTGTTAGGCCGTAGGCCTATTACACAGAACTAATTACAGAGAGAAGGAGAAAAGATAATTACCACTATTTTACATATATATCCATATCCATACACATCCATACACATGCATATATACAAATAAATATTTAGACTGTATGCAATGAACGAGGTCGAAAAGCTTTGTAAATGTAGACTGCTAGATTTCGTATGATTTTAAAGTTAGTGGATGACATAAGAACATTAAATTTATTTTTAGAAGGGGTTGTAAAATATTTAGGAGGAATGTATTCAGCTCTTAAATCACTATAAGCATTGCATATAAGCATAAAATGATATTCGTCCTCAATAAAATTCTGGTTACAAATCAAACACAGTCTATTCTCTACAATGCTCTAATTTCCTTAATATATCGACCGGTCTCAATTCGCAGCCGATGGGAGGAGCATCTCAACTGAGCAAGTGCAGCTCTGAATTTTGAAACATTTACTACATTGATATAGCTTTCTAAGCCAAATGAAATTTTGTAAAGAGAGTAACTTTGGGATTTAGTGCTAGATGAAACAGCTGCATGCCAATCTTGCTCAGACGAGGCTTTTAAACGGTTTACAAATTCCAAGATAAAGCTTCTACTATTATTACTAAATTGCATCTCCCATATGTAGCCAAAACCAAACGAACAGAGAATGTGTTTGATTTTAGAGACCCAGTTGATCTTACCATTATTAACATCAAGTAATAATAATCTATAACATTTCTTAACTAATCTATTTTCAGGTAAATGTAAAATTCTGTACCAAAAAGTAACTACACGCTTTTAAGCACATATGTACATAGGATACCTTCTGCATTCCCCACTAACCACATGATTTGATGAAGATTGTTTAACCCCAAGAAAGCGTTTACATGCTAGTACCTGAATTTGCTCTAATTCTTTGTAAATATCTACACCCCAAATCTTGGCACCGTATAAAAGAATTGGAGATATTTTAGAATAAATTTTTTTGAAAAACAAGTCATAAGGAAGAGGTTGAAGCATTTTTAGAGATTTGATGACACCAAATAGGACCTTTTTAGTTTGTAAGGCAGCACTATTAACATGCAAAGACCAGGAGAGTTTTTGAAAGAATGGTACCGAGATATTTATAAGAACTTACACACTGAAGTTTTTGACCCTTGTAATACCACTTTTCATATTTTGATAAAATACCCCCATTTTTAAATACCACTACCTTAGTTTTATCCAAGTTGACTGTTAGATGATAGTTACTACAAAAACTTTCCAGAGCTTTTATGCCTTTTTGCAGGCCATACACAGTATCAGCAATAAATGCAACATCATCAGCAAACAACAATAGAAAAATCTGTCCAGTGTCAGGGTGTAGCTGTACACCTGGAGTGCATGTTGATTCTCTATACAAAGCTAAGTCGTTTATAAAAATAGAAAATAAAAATGGACTCATTATGCAGCCTTGCCGAAGTCCTAGAGGGCAATCAAAACATTCTGTAAAACAATTTCTGATCTTAACACAGCTTTTAACACAGGAATAGATGGATTCTAATGCATTTAACATTTTTGGGGACACACCTCTGGATTTAAGAACTAGCCATAGTTTAGATCTATTTACAAAATCGAAAGCCTTTTTAAAGTCAACAAAAAGAACATATAATTTACAACACTTCTTAGACAGATAATGCTGGATTACAGACTGCAGAATAAATATATTATCAATAGTACTATAACCTTTCCTAAAACCAGCTTGAGAGTCACAAATTTTATCATACGCATCAGACCAGAACGTAAGTCTTGAAATAAGTACAGATACATAAAGTTTACAAAAAGTGCTGAGCAAGGAGATACCATGGTAGTTATTGGGGTTTGAGTAGTCGCCCTTCTTATGCAGAGGTATGATAACACCAGTACACCACGACTCAGGAAAAGAACCATTTTCAAATAAAATGTTAAACAAGGTTGTTAGGTATGGTACTATTAAATCACTTGATGCTTTGAAAAATTCAGAAATAAGAGAATCATTTCCTGGCAACTTACAGTTTTTTAATTGATTGATAGCTTGCAACACTTTGTCTTCAGTTATACGGCTGTCAAGGATAGAACATATGTCATCATCAAAAGAATAATCTACACCATCTTCTATAGTATCATGAGAGAAAACGGTATGCATACCTTGGAATAAGTTTTTAAAATGCGAAAACCAGTCACTAATGGGGATAGACGATTCCCTTTCTTCAACACCAGTGTATTTTCTTAACATTTCCCAAAATGTTTTGCAGTTATTGATACTGGATGAAAGTCTGTCACGAATCAAATCATTAAAAGCTCTTTTCTTACACCTTACGATATCCTTATATGTTTTACGCTGCAGTGAATAGGCTTGTAACGAAACATTATCCTTTTTTCCTATTAAAAACATCTAGTAATCGGAAGGCTTCTCTTCTGTGATAATCACATTCTTTATCAAACCATGGCCTGTCGCATCCATGACGCTGAACAATCATACGCTTTGTAAAATCTGCTGCCTTCAACAAAGCGTCCGTAAATTTACTAACTGCTGCATTTATGTCTGTTAATGCTAACGCAATACAATCATCAATCAAATGCTTAATTTCATCACATGGGACATTTTCTCTTAACCGATCACCAAAGTTATCACGCCAAGTATACTTAATACAAACTTCTGGCTTCACATTCTCACCCGACATAGCATTGTCAATTTCAGTATCACGTGACCGAAAGGTACAGTTGTACAGTGATTGACATCATGAGCATCAATCCACACAATTGAGATACCATGACATGCATCAACCAAGTCAGTGAGCCTGACCACCTGATCCTGTTAGTTGACTCTTACGACAAGCATAGTTTCCTTTTACGGCAAAAATTATTTGCTGAAGTCCTATTCTACCCCAGATCTACTGATATACTATGTGCTGGTGTACTGATATACTATGTGCTGGTGTACTGATATACTATGTGCTGGTGTACTGATATACTATGTGCTGGCGTACTGCAGTGTACTCGGGCCAACAAGATTCACACTTTCATATTTTCCAGAATGGAGAGTTTGGGATTATGTTAGAATATACAGAATATCCCATCAGCACACCGAGATGCCAGCAGAAGCCAGACAATAGGTTTGCTTTTCAGGACAATCAGTGAACCAATATTACTTATCTATTACATAAATGTTCTTCCTTGTAATATCTGGAACATTATTGTGTTTCTAACCAGGTTCTTCCACTAATCATGTATTGCAACGTACCTGACATTCCACTTCGTTCAACACAAGTGTAATGCAGTGAGCATAACTGCGCTTTGATTGGTTGACAACCATAACGGACGCGGTGCTACTCCACAGCTTGTTATTTCCCTCATCCAAGAGTCAACAGACTACTTCGTATCTGCTTAGACATCCAGCAGTAAGTATCGGCTGTAGCTATCAGGGTCTCATCAGGTATCACCTGCCTGATGACAGGTGTAGTCCTCTAATCAGGTTTGGGGAGAGCAGAAATCAACATTACTGCCTGCTTCTTGTTATAGCACAAGTATGAGGGACAGACTGGTCACACTGCCTGTTGAGTATGAATAGCAGTAAGCCTCATTTATTATTTTATTTATTTATTTAGTCTTCTCTAAATTGTGGTAGAGTAAAAAGAAGAGTTTTCATTGAAAATATGCCTATTTTAAAATCAGAAATTTGTATCTTTGTTAATAATTCTAAGAATACTACCTCTATTACATCATGTATTAAATCCTGTATTATTCTGCTGTCATCACACTAAAAATATATTGAGTATTGAACACCAACATTTGCACATAGAACACCAACATTTGTGAAGGTCTTGCCAATTGAATAGAACTGGTTGAGTAATTGGAAACACCAACAGCTGTGTAGGATCTGCTACTACAAGAGACCTGTCTGTGCAACTAGAACACCGACAGCTGTGTAGGATCTGCCACTACAAGAGACCTGTCTGTGCAACTAGAACACCGACAGCTGTGTAGGATCTGCCACTACAAGAGACCTGTCTGTGCAACTAGAACACCGACAGTTGTGTAGGATCTGCCACTACAAGAGACCTGTCTGTGCAACTAGAACACCGACAGTTGTGTAGGATCTGCCACTACAAGAGACCTGTCTGTGCAACTAGAACACCGACAGTTGTGTAGGATCTGCTACTACAAGAGACCTGTCTGTGCAACTAGAACACCGACAGTTGTGTAGGATCTGCCACTACAAGAGACCTGTCTGTGCAACTAGAACACCGACAGTTGTGTAGGATCTGCCACTACAAGAGACCTGTCTGTGCAACTAGAACACCGACAGTTGTGTAGGATCTGCCACTACTACAGAATGGGCAGAGTCATGGTTTTCAGTTACCGCCATTAAAATTGTGTGGAGTGAGTGAGTGAGTGAGTGAGTGAGTGAGTGAGTGAGTAAGCCACATCTGCTTACCTTGTCTTTACAATCAACATGGACCTTGCCGCTTTCCAGGACTTTGCGGAGTTGTTCCAGATGTCCCTGCAGCGCCGCCAGATGGAGCTGCTGGTCGGATGGTGTCTCTTTCTGAAACCACAGTATGATTGTTGAAAGCAGATGGTGACCAAAGTTTATGAAGAGATTTACCTGGGTTCTTCAGGATAAGGGCTTGGAGGAAGCTCAGAAGGTGCTGCCGATGGGTAATATTCAAGTTTACCCATGTACAATCATGATTTATGTCACCAACTTTTCACCATATCTCATAATAATCTTATGCTGGCTTAAACAGCCCACCTTACTTGTGGTCTGCCAAGATCACTTTGACCCTAGCACATACTGTCCCTGCAATTGCTGTAGAGGCAGGTCACATGACCGTCCTCTTTAAAAACTACATGTGCTAGGGACCCATAACACACCATGCATGACCACTTAGTTGTTACATATAACATCTAATTTGTAGTATCCACAGGTCTTTACACCTGATAAATACTGGGGATACTGTCAGAGGTATTTTTAAGGGAGTGCTTAGCTCAATTGCATTAGAGATTGAGAGTTCCCTTCTAGGCGCATACACTTTGGATTCTGTATGCATGCGCATCACATGCCGTTCATGCATGATGGGAAATTTCTTTGTGATGAGATGTTGTGTTCAGATGCAATGCCCCAGTATTCAAAATGTACTCAACGACAGATACATTCAAATCATTAGTTCCCTTATATTTGGTCGGTAGTATACGTTAGTGGTACTGCCAGTGGGTATATCCATCTGGTTCGTTGTTTAATGCTGCACTCAGCAATATTCCAGCTATATCACAGCAGTCTATAGTTAATAATCGAACTGGATCAGACAATCCGGTGATTGACATCATGAGCATCAATCTGTGCAATTGGGATACAATGACATGCATAAACCAAGTCAGCAGTCTGACGATCCGATCCTGTTAGTTGCATCTTACAACAAGCATGGATTGCTGAAGACCAATTCTAACCCGGAATCTTCACGGGACTATCCGTCTGGTACTGCAAATGGGTTGTATCATGTATATAGCAGGTACTCCTAGTGTATATATATACACCATGAATGTTTTATACTGTGTATTGCTGCAGCCCCCTCCAGGAGCACAGACACACTAACATCCTGGGGACTATCTCTCGTATCACTACATGGCATACATCAGAGGGCTATTAACAGCCATACATTATTGGGGATTACCCACATTGCCATAGCTGTATACATACATGGGATACTACATGGGAACTGGAGGTCTTACAAAGCATACTTCTGACCCCCTGCAGCAGTTCCAACCACGGTATGGCAGGATAGCCAGCAGAGGTGTGTGGTTATGTGTGGTTGTGTGGATATGTCACAGTGTGTGTGTGTCATTTTGTGTGTGTGTATCATGGTGTGATGGTGTGTCATTTGTGTGGTTGTGTCATGGTGTGAGGGTGTGTCATGTTGTGCGGGTGTGTCATGGTGTTTGAGTGTCACTGTGTGTGGGTGTGTCATGGTGTGAGGGGGGGGATGTGTTATGGTATGAGGGTGTGTCATGTTGTGTGGGGGTGTCATGGTGAGTTGGTGTCACTGTTTGTGGGTGTGTTATGGTGTGTCATGGTGTGAGGGTGTGTCATGGTTTGAGGGTGTGTCATGGTGTAAGGGTGTGTCATTGTGTGAGGGTATGTCATGGTGTGTGGGTGTGTCATGGTGTGTGGGTGTGTCATGGTGTAAGGGTGTGTGGGTGTGTCATGGTGTAAGGGTGTGTCATGGTGAGGGTGTGTCATGGCATGTGGGTGGGTGGGTGTGTCATGGTGAGGGTGTGTCATGGCGTGTGGGTGTGTGGGTGTGTCATGGTGTGTGGGTGTGTCATGGTGAGGGTGTGTCATGGTGTAAGGGTGTGTCATGGTAAGGGCGTGTCATGGTGTGTGGGTGTGTCATGGTGAGGGTGTGTCATGGTGTGTGGGTACATCATGGTGTGCTGGTGAAATGGTGTGTGGATGTGTCATGGTGTGAGGGTGTGTGGGTGTGTCATGATGTGAGGTGTGTCTTGGGGTGAAAGTGTGTCGGGAGCTCCTCCCACCGGGCCAACCTGGCAGGCAATTGGTCTTTAATGAAGCCTGATGAGAGTAACATGGGGGATGTTTTCATGTGCCATCTCATCTCCCACCACAATCTATTTCACATACACAACTGGACAACATGCAACTTCTTAAAAAACAAACAAGAGTGCCATCCATGCCATCCCTCATTCCCACCATTCATCACCAGCAGGGCTCTGTCTGTCCAGCTCACTGTACCGAGATCATTACAAGGGAAATCTTCAGGACAAATGTGTTAAAAACCATACACTTTACAAGTCGTGGTAAAGATCGCTCAAACCTTGAGTGCTGAAGATGTTCGAAACTAGCTGTTACCATGGTTACCATTCATTTCTTCGACTTGATGGCATTTTAGTAATAACGTTTTTCAGATCAATATTTATTCTGCAGGTGCTGATATTTTTACCATATGTGATGATTGTAAATAGTGTTTCATGTTTCAGGTTATTTTCTCAAAGAAAAGTTTGACATTTCATGATGTATGTTTATATAAGGCTGTAGACTCATCCTAAATGAAACATGAAAAATACCTGAATGGATGTAAGATGTGACAATGTGACGGATGTACTCAGCTGGCCGCAAAGAACTCTGGGTAGGTAAGTGATGGCTTCATACCCTTGAGGCATATTTATATTGTAATCTAAAATTTGATAAACACTAGCACCTAATGTAATCAAGCTGGCAATTAGCATTTTTGTAACTTTACCATAAGCATGATAAGAAAAACACAAGCTTTCTCATTATTTGTTTTATTTGCTTGTTGTTAAACCCAGGACAGGGCAATATTCCAGCTTTATGATGGTGGTCCGTAAATAACCAAGTCTAGACCAGACAATCCAGTGATTGACATCATGAGCATCAATCTTTTTAATTTGCCCCATCATAAAACAAGACTGAAGCCAGTTTACTCTGCACAGCGGTTGCATTGTCAGCTTTGCTGTGAGGAGCTCTATTGTTTTGGTTTGAGAATTGAATTGGGCATGTGACGTCACACTCAGAAATTATTTCATGCATGATTTAAAAACACACAGAACCGTGAATGTACTGTCCCTTTCATTGTCATTGCTTGATATCTGTCCGAACAGGTCTGAACACACAGATCCGTGCATGTACTGTCCCTTTCATTGTCACTGCTTGATATCTGTCCGAACAGGTCTGAACACACAGATCCGTGAATGTACTGTCCCTTTCATTGTCACTGCTTGATATCTGTCCAAAAAGGTTTATAGACCCGACACATTTAACTTGATGACAAAACAGTGTCCACCCACCCACACCTACTCCCCCTAATCTCTCAGAGAGGTATAAGTAATCAGGCCATGTTTTCTTTGCATGACTGGCCTTGTCAAATCAGGTGATCGGGGTATGGAAGAGCCCACTTCTGAATCCTCAAGGGGTCATTCGGGATTATCATATAACCTGAGGTAAAAATTTATCTGGTGTGAGTATTTTCCAGCATTCTGAGATTGTCATGGATCCGTTTATCTTCCGGTCTGTAGTCTACAGCTGCATACTTCCTCTTCTCCTGAACTTGTCCCAGGGGTGCCAGTCGAAGGGACTTTGCTCTGAGGGCCAGTTGTCGAAATCGGCACCCTCCTTGTATCAAGTTGCTTGTCCAAGTTGTTGAATCTAATGAGAATGGTTGCAGTGAAAGGAGCATCTATCAAACACAGCAAGGGTGACCCTGATGACAGCTCTTTCATGGCAAATGTGAAGCTGGAGGTTCAGGCTAAAGTTTTCTGGTTTAGTCTTCAGGACTTGCAATGCTGTGATGTACGTATAAGGGAGGATACATAAAATCTTGTAATTGAGCAGAAAACTTCGAGTGGAAGAGTAGAATGTGCTGCTTCACACAAGTGTCTTTAGCTTTCTCTTGTGGTGAGTAGGAGAGTCCTGTCGTCTCTCACTAAGGGTCAGCTCATGGCTGGTCTGTGTCAGTGTTGAAGTAACCAGCGCCATCTAGTTGCACAGCAGATCTACACTAGTAAACCTTTGTTTCATATTAATCTATTCCACAACAACCTTATAATGGTTCCTCTTCAATTTATGAATGTACTCCATTATGTTGTAGTGAGTGAGTATGGTTTTACGCCGCTTTTAGCAATATTCCAGCAATATTATGACGGGGACACCAGAAATAGGCTTTCCATATTATACCCATGTTAGGAATCGAACCCGGGTTTTTAGTGTGACGAGTGAACGCTCTAACCACTGAGCTACCCGACCACCCCTGAATATGTTGTAAGTTGTGTTGTTTTAAGAAGCAATCATTAGAAGAGCAGTGATCACATATATTAGGCAAGAGAATTCTTAAGGTGACCACTGAGTCTGATCATATATCTATGATATTCCATAAATGAGGTACCAAGAGGTTTTTCCAGGCAGGTTCTGGAGATGACCATTCTCCAGGGACATAACATTTGAGGGCCATGATTGTGGTGAAGGACAAAACAGTCAAACAATGAAAACATAACTCTATTGATTATAATACTTCATCAGAATAAACAATATCTGATCCACTGTAAATAAGGGAATATTTAAATCATGGAAAACACCTTTCAAAATCTCTGATGTCATACATACACGAGGAACCTTGTGCTTCTCACCATGCTCACATCCATACCTGACGATGGTGTACACAACTGTTCTATACTCTCATGATCAAACAGAATACCTGACTAGGGAATACACAACTGTTCTATACTCTCATGATCAAACAGAATACCTGACTAGGGAATACACAACTGTTCTATACTCTCATGATCAAACAGAATACCTGACTAGGGAATACACAACTGTTTTATACTCTCATGATCAAACAGAATACCTGACTAGGGAATACACAACTGTTCTATACTCTCATGATCAAACAGAATACCTGACTAGGGAATACACAACTGTTCTATACTCTCATGATCAAACAGAATACCTGACTAGGGAATACACAACTGTTCTATACTCTCATGATCAAACAGAATACCTGACTAGGGAAT